TATTTTTATTTATTTGATATTTGTTTGATTTTGTATTTGCATGTAGATGATGGATTGATTTTAATTATCTTGATTAGTTGTGTGTGCCAAGTTTAGGATTTTTATATGTATTTATTTTATGATTGTAATCACACTCATGGATATATGAAATTAAAATAAATTAGGAACTCATAGATAAATTTCTTATACTCCACCATGACTCCATTGATTGTTGTTTTATTTGAGTGTTGGTGAGAAAGAATGTATAAAAAAAGTGAGGATTATGAGATTTATTTGAATGCCTTAGACTTGGCATTGTTATGTTTGTTCTCATGAGTAAGATGTTTTGTATATGTATATTGTTGCTTTGTTCTCAGGAGTAGACGAGTGCTTTGATTTACGCGCGTACGTATATGCTAACCATCCAGGGAGTGTGGGTCAAACTTGGGACGATATTCCCCTGCAAGTTTGGCTTCGGAGCGGTGTTAGGTATACGGAAGGCACATGGGATATATGTGTAGGCCGGAAGTGAAGGGCCGAAGTGGTGGAGTTAAGGTACAAAGAATTAAATATGAGTTTTATTGTTATAGTGTGAATTATATTGATTTGTACATCTTGAAACAAATAATAATCGACCTCAATAAATTACGAAATTTGGGCAGAGGCATGTGTACGTAATTCTAGACAACTTTTGTATTTTAACTTTTTATTAAAAAGATCGATTAGAACTTGTAATCGGATGATCTTGATTACAATAGTTTTTATTCGTTTTAGCAATGCAGATTTTAGATGCTGTTTTAACCCACGAAACGAGCTTATTTTTATTGGTTTTCCATCAATTTAAGTAAAACATTATTCTGAACACTTTTCATGTTTTGAACTTTTCCGAAAAAAATCATCTTAGGGCAGTTTCTTTTCATTTTCAATTCTAAATTTTTCGATTGAATTCCGTCTAGGTTTTTCTATCAAGTTTTTCTCTCAACCTGTTCAGTTTTTACTAAATTCCTTTGCATTGTCTTGTAAAAAATTTGATTTTGTACAACTTTTGTTCTTTGAGTTTTGGTCATTTCGAATTATTTAAGCATGAAACGGTACATTTTTATACTTCTTCAATATGTTACTTATGATTAAATTATACTAACTTTATTTTTTGTAGAATGGTGGGTCTTACTAACTTTTTATGCATGGCTGACCCACTATATTTGTATTTGTATTTTTATTTTGTTTATTTTATACTCAATTTATATTTCGTTGTGTATGAGCAAGAAATTAAATGCCATCGTATCTCGGGAAACTACCTATTCATCTTGGTGCGGATGGAACTGCTTGTCTTGTTGCGTAATAAGAATTAAATGTATTTTTGTTTATGTCAGGTGGACACATGGGTGTCAAAATATTTGTACTGGTACCAGTATACTTGTATACTAACCCGTTTTGTCTCTTGGCATCTCGGGTGCGTTTTGTTTGAGCGCAGCCGACCTTCTTTTGCAGGATTAGTTGGGATTATGGTGGTGAAGAGAAATAACTATAGTTGTTGAACATGTCGTTTAGACTTCTTTTGTTTTCTTGAGTTTATGGTTGATATTAGTTTATGTATTTATTATTATTTTTTTATGACCTTAGTATTTTAATAATTTGGCATAGTTTGTAACTTTACATTATTTAAGTTATTTTGACTATTTATTGTTACTTTAATGTTGGAGGTATTAGTTAGTTATGAAATTATAGTGGATGGTTTGGTTGGCGTTTTGTTAGTTTTTTTTATCCCTTGTAATCTTTTGAGGATGGAAATTTACTTAAACCCTTTGGAGACGTGAACGCTTAGATTTTGTTTAACCCTAAGATTTGGATGATGGAATATTGATTAGGGTTTAGTTCTAATTTAATATTTAATTGTCCAAATTTTGGGGGCATGACACCCGAAATGGGACCCTCATTGATATATGGAGCAATTTTTTTTTTTTTTTTTTTTTGAGGGGGGAATTGATGTAGACGAATCACAGATAAGTGGGGATTATATTTTTTTTGGGGTCGGTATCATTTCTAATTATAAAAATATGGGAGCTTCTTTTATAGATCAACTTTCTAAAAGTTTTATTCCATCAAACCCACATTCTTTTTGACTATTCCATTAGGTCCTATTTGAGATAAGAAGACAAAAATACCTTTTTCATCTACTTATGTTCCATTTAGTTCACATTATTTTCTTATGTTTCAATAAGTCCTATGGGTGACATAATTACCAAAATACCCCTAATGTGAATGTTCACGCCGTCAATGTGAATGTTCATATCGTCAACGTGTAGGGGTCCGGCCCATGTCGATCCTCGTGGATGCCAGGAAAAATTCGAATCGGGCCGAGGCGGGCCTGGCCCGGCCCGGCCCATTGAGAAAGTGAATATTCACATTGACATGTTAACATTCACATTAATAGAAGTGTAAAATTAGCCCGTGTCCCATGGCGGCTCGAAACCCGCCCGCAGCCCATGGGTGGCTCGAGGCGGGCCCGGTCCGGCCCGTTGACAATGTGAATATTCACATTGACATATTAACATTCACATTGATAAGAGTATAAAATTGGCCCGCGGCCTATGGGCGGCCAAAAGCCCGCCCACGGCCTGGGGCGAGCCCGGCCCGGCCCGTTGACAATGTGAATATTCACATTGACACGTTAACATTCACATTGATAAGAGTGTAACATTAGCCCGCGTCTCGTGACTGCCCAAAACCCGCCCACGGCCCGTGGCCTGTTGACAATGTGAATATTCACATTGACATGTTAACGTTCACAATGATAAGAGTATAAAATTGGTTAGCGGCCCAGGGCGGACCCGACCCGGCCCGTTGACAATGTGAATATTCACATTGACATGTTAACATTCACATTGATAGGAGTGTAAAATTAGCCCGTGCCTCGTCGCTGCCCGAAACCCGTCCACGACCTGTGAGTGGCCCGGGACGGGCCTGGCCTGGCCATTTTTTTTAATTGTTTTTAATTTTTTCTACCAAAATTTTATTATTTTCCGCAAAAAAAGACACTAGGCCTCGGCGCGGGCCGGGCCTCGGATCGAGCCTTCAATGGGCCTTAACCGGGCCGATGGGCTAGGCCGAGCTTCAAAGTAATGGCCCAGGCCCTAGCCTAGGGTCTCGGACTAGGCTCGAGCCTGGGCCCAAACGAGCCTTTCCCGGGCCGGGCCGGCCCACAGGCCAAAAAATTAGGCCCAGGCCCTAGCCCTGGCACAAGGGTATTCGGGCTTTGGACGGGCCGATGGATCGAGCCTCGGGTCAGGTCGGTGGGCCTGGGCCTGGCCTCGAGCTTAGGTCAGGCTTGGATGGGCCTGGCCATTTTTTTTTAATTCCTTTTAATTTTTTCTACCAAAATTTTATTATTTTCTACAAAAAAATACATTACGCCTCAGGCGGGCTGGGTCTCGGACCGAGCCTTAAATGGGCCTTAAGCGGGCTGATGGGCCGGGCTGGGCTTCAAGTGATGACCTAGGCCCTAACCTAGGGCCTCAGACATGCTCGGGCCCAGACCGAAACGAGCCTGCCCCCGGCCGTGGGCGAGCATCGGGCTGCCCACGGGCCGCAGGCCAATTCTACATTCCTATCAATGTGCAGTTTAACATGTCAATGTGAATATTCACATTGTCAATAGGTCGGACCGGGCCTACCTCGGGCCGCGGGCAAGCTTCGGGCAACGGGCAAATTCAACACTCCTATCAATGTTAATGTTAACATGTCAATGTGAATATTCACATTATCACAGGTCGGGCCATGCCCGCCTCGGGCTGTGGTCGGGCTTCGGGCCGCCTACGGGCTGCGGGCCAATTTTACACTCTTATCAATGTGAACATTCACATTGTCAACGAACTAGACCGAGCCCGCCCTAGGCCGTTGGCCAATTTTATACTCTTATCAATGTGAATGTTAACATGTCAATGTGAATATTCACACGGTCAACAGGCTGGGCCGGGCCGGGCTCGCCGCCGGCCGCCCACGAGCCGTGGGTGGGTTTCGGGCAGCCACGAGGCGCGGGCTAATTTTACACTCCTATTAATGTGAATGTTAACATGTCAATGTGAATATTCACATTGTCAACGGGCCGGGTCGGGCCCACCCTGGGCCGCTAGCCAATTTTATACTCTTATCAATGTAAATGTTAACATGTCAATGTGAATATTCACATTGTCAACGGGCGGGGTCGGGCCCGTCTTGGGCCGCTAGCCAATTTTATACTCCTATCAATGTGAATGTTAACATGTCAATGTAAACATTCACATTGTCAATGGGTCGGGCCCGCCCCATGCGCCCCATGCGGCGGGCGGGCTTTTGGCCAGCCATTGGCCGCGGGCCAATTTTATACTCTTATTAATGTAAATGTTAATATATCAATGTGAATATTCACATTGTCAACGGGTCGGACTGGGCCTGCCCCGGGCCGCTCATGGGCCGCGGGTGGGTTTCGCGCTGCCACGGGACGTGGGCCAATTTTACACTCCTGTTAATGTGAATGTTAACATGTCAATGTGAATATTCACATTGTCAACGGGCCAGGCCCGCCCTGGCTCGCGGGTGGGTTTCGGGCCGCTCACAGGCCAATTTTACATTCCTATCAATGTGAATTTTAAAATATGAATGTTCACATCATAAAATTGCTAACCGTTCAAAAAATATTTATAAGGGTATCAAAATTAAATATAAGGGTATAAGTGTCCAAGAAAATAGTGTAAATCAAGAAAAAGAATTTTATGGAATAAAACTATACATACATGAAACTAAATAGGTTAAAAAATTCATTCATAAACTTTTTAAATTAAAATATTTCTAAATAGAATTTATCGATAATTTATCCTAAAAATATTTTTATTTTCACTCTGAAATCTGCTTTTGAAATGATTTCGAAGCATTTTCTATGTCTAGAAATCTCTGCAACTTCACACGTGCATGTATACATATATATATATGCATATAGGGATATGTGTCTATATATACACACAGAGAGTTAGAATTTGTGAAAATCATTCAGGTTGTTCATTGCAAATTCTTTGTCTCTTAAATCTATTTCCTAACAATAACACAAAAGAGTGAAATTGTTTCAATAGATCAGGTCTGTATTGAATAGATAAAAAAATTCAATTGCTATTTTAATAGAAAAAAAAATTTGTACAAATAAAAAATTGAACAGATAAAATTTAGATAGAGAATTTGTATAGATAAAAATATTGAACACATAAAAAATTGGATATGTAAAATTTGGACAAATAGGAAATTTGCACAAATAAAATTTGGATAGACAAAAAATTTACACAAAAAAATTTGAACAGATAGAAAATTTACACAGAAAAAAATTGAACAAATAGACAAAAAAAATTTGAACAGATAATCAACAAAAAGTCAAACAGATAAAAAAAAGTCAAAGGGTAAAATTAGAAACAAAATGTTCTCCATCACTTCTCACCATATTTCACAGAGTGTGGGTACTATAAAAATATAAGTTAAATAAATATATATAATAATTTTAAATTATAACACATAAAAAGGAAAATATTTATTTGATAATTTTAATCTTTTGTGTTACAAAAATGTAACTTAAATAAATTTATATGATATTAAATTATAACTTGATATTAGAAATAATTGTTATAAAATTAAAATTTTATTTAAGAAATTCAATATAATTAATACTATAAATAAGATAGACATAAAAATAAGAAATAATTTTAATATTTTATTAAAAAAAAGTGAAAAAAGTATAATATAATTAATTGGTAAAATGCTTTTAGTATGTATAATATTTTTACCAATTTGCTCTACAGCAGTCCTGAATGAGTAATCTTTTGTCATGCTCTCAAAATGCTTCTTCCCTTCTTCTACTAAACCTGAATGCCTACAAGCTGTTGAAACAGAAATAATGGCGAAGCTATTTGGCCAAATTTCTTCATCTTTCATCTTTGTGAAGAGCATCAGAGCATTGTCCCCATGCCCATGAGATGCACAGGCCCCTATAATTGAAGTCCAGGACACAACACTTTTATGAGGCAACTTGTCGAAAGCATCCCTTGCCAAATCTATGTTTCCACATTTTGCATACGTGTCAATTAAAGCATTAGTAATTGAAACATTAGTTTCAAGACCTTTGTTCCTCACAAGCTTATGTATCCATTTCCCAGTATTGAGTGCTCCTAAATTAGCACAAGCTGATATAACACTAACCATTGTGATATAATCAAATTCTACCTTTTCAATTAGCATTCTACGGAAGAGCTTAATGGCAGACCGATCAGCATTAGTCTGTTCATAAGCAGCAATCATGGCATTCCACGAGACCAGGCTTTGGACTGGCATCTGATCAAACGAAGATCTGGCAGTATCAACAATTCCACACTCACCATAAAGAGCGATTAAAGTGTTAATCAATGAAATATCAGAGTCCACCCCCAATTTAACAGCACAACCATGAACCAATTTCCCCAAGTTCAAAAACTCCAAACCGGCACAGGCGGGAAGAATGCTCACGAGTGTAATCACTACAAGAAAATACAGCTTTGGCGACCACTTTTGCCGACTAAAAATATTTTGGTTGCCAAAAGTTGTGGAATTGGCGACCAAAAATTATGTTAGTCGGTAAAAGTACAATATTTAGCTACTAAAATTTTTTAGTCGGGGTATATTAATTTTTGGCGACTAAAAAAAAATTTAGTCGCTAAAAATCTCACAATTGGGGACTAAAAAAAATTTAGTCGCTAAATTTTCCACAATTGGCGACTAAAAAAATATGTTAGTCGCCGTATAGATAGTTTTGGCGACTAAAATAATTTAGTCGCTGAATGGAAAATAAAAAGTTATTTTTTTTCTTTG